TATCTTGCTGTTACGATCAAGCCTTGAAACTGACTTTCAGCTAATGACCCAAATAATCTTTACTTGAAATTGTATAATTGAGATCGAAGGCTGTCTGGGGCTTCTAGCTGGTACACAGATTCCACATCCATGAGCTTTTGAGTATGGTCATTGAGCTGAAATGGAGAAGGTTAAAACTCTCATTTTCATTACCAAGCTCCCCCCATCTCCCAATACAAATGTGACATTTCAATTTTACACAGTCCAACTCTTCTTAAATCATCTGTATAAAAACTTCAGATCTTGATTGATGATGGATGAGCTATTGTCTCCTAAAGCACCAAGTTCTCATTACCCTTTAAGACATAGCTTATTAGTGATGGACCTGAAGTGCTTTCCCAGTGGGTCATCAGCAATCAACTGTGCTAAGAGATCAAAAGACTTGGTTTGGCATGAAATTTCCAGGCCAAAGCCATTTTCAGATAATGCATTCAGAATCTTGGGTGAAATATGACAGTGTTTTGAGAGTGATACAGTATCTGACAACAGATCCTCATCACCTGGGTGATGATGGCGAAGGCGCAGCACTGTCAGCATACAAAGATGCTTCAGCTCATATGGAGCCTGACCTTGAAAATTAAGGTATCATCAACATGCATTGTATAATATGTATGTGCAGTGTATAGCTCTATATAGTGTAGTGTAAAAGATAGCTGTTTCCTTAGCAGACAGTCAGCTTGGAAGGTACAAGGTATCTTCTGGTTTGGTTTTGAGGTGGTTACAGTGGCCATGCCCAACAGTTTTTCCTAATTAACTCCTTCTCCTTTCTCAGCCCGCTTTAGAACAAGTTCTTTTCCCTCTCACTATGCCGCCTTCCAGTTCATCGTGCCAGCTGGCTTCATAGCACCACAGAAGAGCTTTTAATTTGCAACCTTGAATAGCAATAGCAATTTTATAACCAATTTTATAACCATTTTAGAACCAGATTCTACTGCTAAATAGATGCCTACAGGCCCCACTGCATATCAACACACACGAGTTACTTGCGCTTTGGGATACATTGCAGAATGTGAACATGTTTTGCCAATTTAATCCACATTAGATATTAGATAACAGACCGTGAGGGATTACACTGTACGCAAGAAAAAGTCAGTTGAAGAAAATGCCCTTTTAACAGATGGATGAAGAAGAGTTCTTTCCATCTCTGCTCTAAACAGACAACACACTTGCCGAGCTAGGGTCCCTTTGCCTTATTTGAAGGGATCTTAAGTTGCTGGTGGCTGGTGATGCATTTTGACTGGCTCCAGTCAAACTCATTCTCTTAGAATAGATGTTACGAATTTAGCCCCTTTTTGAACTTAGCAGACTAATTTCAAATTGTGTGTGATGTACCTATCTGTGTTCCATGGCACTTTATGGAAAATATAAGATACTTGTGTTTCATAGTTGCCAGAGACCTGTATGTTTCAATTTCTCCTGTTAGAATTCCGAGTGTTGTATGGCAGGGTACTGAAGTTACATGGTAATGGCTCTGCTTCATCACTGGGCTAATGGAAGCAAGAAAATAGCAGATATAATGGATAATACACTTCTGATTTAGCTTCCTGAATAAATAACCATTTAATAGAATTTTAATAATATGCAGATATAAGTTCCCCACAATCATTTGGCAGCAATAAGCAAAATAATGACAGAAGTCAGTGGCGAGTGCACTTGCTGATTTATTTTCATATAACTTTGGTTACAGAATTATACTGCTTTTAAGCCAGTAAAGTAGCTCGAATAAGGAAGATGATAACATTTTGCATTCATTTCAGAATCAAGTGGCAAAAGACCTTGGAACTACTTCTTTGCTCAGAGGAGCCACGGTCCTTGTGCCAAAATGGGAGATCGTGGTACTCTCTTAAGTGTGGCCGTCAGTACCTTACAGGAAGGCGTCCAAAATTGTCTGACACCTTTAGCAACTCTTCCCAGTGAAAGCTAGTGGGACGTGTGCTTCAAAATCCGCTTTTGTAAGTCTGTGTCCCTGAGCAGTGTGGAAGTCTAAGGGCAACGTTTGCTGCCAGCACGGCACAGCAGGTATTTCAGGCAGCAGTTGATAGAGCTGAGTGCTCTGCCTCTTGTCCCAGACAGCACTGTTGTACTTAGGCTAACAATTTGCTAATGTCACAAAAAGTTGCTTTAGAAGACAAAAATACTCTTCCCAAAATGGTATTTAAAATACATTCCACTGCGAGCAGTCCCTTTTAGTGCTTCTTTGGCAGGAACTAGCTTCTTTCTTCGCAGTAGAAATCTCAAAATTCACTAGGGGACTTGTCATTCTCTTTCCTGGTCCAGCCTCGGAAAGAGTTCAGCAAAGAGGCACCTCGGGTGTTGCACGCAGGAGAAGAAAGCTCTTTTTGCCTGGCTTCCTTTGCTAGCTGGTCTGCATAGGCAGAGATGCCTGCCTTTCTCCTCCTGTTTATTGTTTAACTTTATCTCTCGCTTTCAGTGCTGTAAATTACAATGAGATGATGACTTTATGATGATGGGTTCATTATACAGCAACTCTATTGTATATTGATTACATTTGTGCTTCATTTGCTTAACATGTAACAGGGTTTATTAGGTCTTTCCAGGCATTGTTCTTGCTAAGAGAGGGCAGAGAAGTGCAAAATGCATTTGAGTTTAAATCAGTGAAGCCAGTGCATCTGTGCTGATTTACACATGCCGAGCACTCAGCATCAAGTAGCATAGCAGCTTGGAACAGGAGGGTAGAAAGGGAATGAATCTGGATCCCACCGAGCAGGAAGAGTCAAGAACAAGTACTTTAACGATTGTACTAAATTTTGAACTCAGGGTTATTTAATATCCGTATCAGCCCATCTTTGATATTATTACTTAGGTTTATTAGCGCCTCACTGCATGAATAGGCCTGTAAACTTTAATCCTGTCACCTGTGAAAAATGGTACAGTGCAAGGCAAATAAAGATACTGCATCACGTTTTTGGGGAAGGGCAGCAGGAGCAAAGCTTCTTTATTCAGTGATGAGGGAAGTTAGAGCATTTTCCGTGTTTGCTTTTAGTAAATCACAGGGAAAGCTGTCAGCTTTCCTTACAGTACAGAGGGGACACTTTCTGGTTACTTTTATGCTGAAAAAAAAGTCTTTCTCCACAAATTGAAACTATTAGAATTACTTTTAGAGTGAGATGCTGCCTGCTATACAAGAATGCATTAAAGTCCCTAGAAGAAAAGAAAATTTGATACGTATTGTCATGAGTGAATGCTCTAAAACCCAGAAATTATGCCAGTGCAGGTGTTCAGATGTACCAACTGATAGTGACACTATTTAGAATTGTGTGTATGTGTTTAAGAAGCTATGAATGTAGATTTTACAGTTTTTGATGGCTTGTTAGATATTATTTTTAATCAAAATCTGGGCCGTAATGGACTGGGTAATCCTGTATTGCTGGGACAACACAGAAATCATCGTTAGTCATTTTTTCAAGTGTTTTTTGAAGTCCCACTTTTTCCCCAGAGCAGAATTGCTAACAGATGCTGTATGGGTTTTTTCAGGGATCATAAGAATATCATACAGACAGATCATTGCTATATCTCTAATCTGGACTCTTTTCTGTATAAGATTATTATTATTGTTGTTTTCATTTTTAAGCTCCTTTTCAATGAAAAGCCAAGCTTTTAAACCAGAGGTTTCTAAGAAATAGTAATTCTCTGAACTTAATTATATGGTGGAAGCATGCATTTACAGATGATCCTTTATTTAATACATTCTGTTCTGGGGGCTACCTCCTCTGCATGCTGTGTCCTGTAAACCCTGAAATTTAAAAAAAAATTATGGAGTAATTCCTTTCTTGTTGTTTGTCAACATTAGCATTCCCACTAAAGCTTTTAAAGGTTTTCTTAGGAGTTGAGGACTATCAGACGACCTTAATCATTGCTACTATAGTCAAGATTTACTCTTAATGTCTCTGTGAGAAGTGTGACACTCCTGGCCGTATAGCACCACTTAATGTCATTCTAAGGTGCCATTAGTAACTAACCTTCAACATTTCTTTGCTGAGGCTTGAATCTCTGACACTAAGCAGTGCAGAGGTTTTAGCTGCATAGCTCCTCTTAACTTTCATTAAAGTCACGTGGATTGTCATCTGCTTTGGAAATAGGAGAGCCAGGTTAAGGAGACAAATTGTGAATTTGAAGAAGAGTTTAGAGGGTAAAAAAACCCCAAGTTATTGCTCCAGAGGATACCCTGGTGCTACAGCCAACAACTGTAAGATCATTTCTATGTTGAGATTTGACAAATCAAGTCTTTGGCAACAGGGCAACAAGCCATTTTTTTAAACAAACTGATATAACATGAAAATTAAAAAAAGCCCCAAATAACTTTCATCTGCTTAGAAACCATCTCCCTTTGACACAAAGCTTCCATTAAGGCATGTCAATGGTAGTTTTGTATCATAGTATTTGAGATTTGGATCATAGATATTATTTGAGTATTTTGGATCATGGTATTAAAATAGCACAGTCTGATCAGAAAACATGCTTTTCCAGACATTGTGATGACTGGACCCTTCTCATGTACTGTGGGCTCAGAAAATTCCTACCCCAGTGGAGCATGTTAGTTTATCGTATGTTATAAGTGTTCATATGTATTAATGAAATACAGCATAGTGTGGTTGATTGCTTGTGTTTTTAAAGTCAGTTAAGTCTTGAAGGTTATTTTACCCACAAATAGCGGTACTGTTCCATACTTGATTACAATGGAACAACAGGTAAACCCAGTAATCATCTAGCAACTGTGTGGCTGTCTTCATCAGGTTTCTTCTGCATATAAAGAAATGGTTCTTGTTTACACATACTGCAAGCTACTTGCCCTCCAGTTTTCAGAGTATTAAGTGAGATTACAGTGAGAATATTTTGCATTTACATTTCTTGCCCTTTCTCTCCAGTATACAAAACAGCAAACATTTAATCAGTTGTATAACTAAAGTCTTACAAGTATGTTCTCATGTTCTTTTATGCAGAAATACTGAATGGAGGCGTGTATGTTGGCCAGAACAAATTTCTTTGCTTCGCAGACACCATTCATTGGCAGGATATCGTGCGTAACCCCTGGGCCTCCAACTTCACATTGGTTCCAACAAATGGCAGCTCAGGATGTAAGTACTGGTTTTATTCTTAGCCTTGTCATCCGCTCAGCATGAAACAGTATAAATATGGCCACAAGTTTTTCCCGATCGTCTGTTATGGAGAACTATATTTATAATTTTTTCCTGCATTCTTCACTGCATTCTACAAATTTGTACACTGCTTGTAGGAACACTTAGTCTAATCTTAAAAACACTTTGTCTGTTGACAAAATCATACATTTTCTGAAATTTCTCTCATCTGTTTTCTCTCTTCTGCGTATTCTTTTTTCTATTTATCACTAAAGCCATTGTGCTGCCGTGGAAGCACAGACGTTATTGTTTGCATTTGTTACTGCTGCTCAGGCTGGTCCTTGAGTCACAATGGTCTGTCTATGGCATCATAATTAGCTGCTGGAGTAATTATGCTACAAGCTCACGGATATTTTGACTTTAGATGAGCAATGAATCTCAAATAAATAGTTATCCTGTTGTCTTGTGTATACCTGTGAAGAAAGAGAGAGAATTTGTAGAGGATGGGATGCTCTTCAAAATATAGCCAATATGTCTCTGGTTTTAATATGTTCTCTCTATTTTAATGCTCTCGATTTCAAACTCGGAGTATGCATGTACTTTGATTAATTTGTTTGATCCGTTTCTCTATTTCCCTTCCCTAGAGTTATTCACCTTCGGCAGTATTTTGATGATTCTTGCAGCAATAATAAATTCTAGTGAATGGTGGTGACAGTGATACAAAGTCTTTAGGTAAAATATTCTATAATATAGTAAAGTGCATTCAAATTGAATACTATGCTATTAAACAGTACCCTCAGGATGTATCAACATTGAAATTCAGGTATAGGCTGGGAAGAAGTTTATATCTGATGTCAAAAGTTGACACCACAGCAGACATATTGCGATGAGCATTCTGGATATAGGGACATTCTGGATTGCTTACCGTATCCTAAGGTATCCCTCAAGGATGTATAAATGACTGATTGCCTCTTTAGCTTCCCCTACAGCCAAGAAACAACTTCAGTTCTTCATTTGTAGGTTAGGAATTCAGGGGTAAAAAAAAATTACACTCTGGATAAAGACCATTTGATGAGTCCCCATATTTTCTAAGCAGCAACTTGTTTTTAACCAAGTGCTTTCTGGAATAATAGATTTTATATAAGGGCAACTTGGTTTTGTGTATCTCACCTGCTACCCTCAAAACCAGAGCACAGCTACTTGACAAACGGCTTCCTTCATGAGCCTGCCAAACTCCACTGCTCCTCAGTGTTCCAATTCTGGAGCTGAGGCTCATCTCTTCTGTCTTCTGGCTGGAAACCTGACATAGTTGTAATGCAGCCAGCTATCTTATTTACATATTAAAAAACCTCATCACTGGTGATGATCAGTTCTGAGCAGAACTGATGAAACCTTTGAAGGTTAGGGAATGCCTGTACCCTTTTATGATTCATTGCTTCAACAAGAAAAAGACTTGGTTGTTACTCTGTTTTGTTCTGTTATTGGGTTTTCTTTTAACCTTTGCCAGTTCTTCAAGACAAATGTTTCTGCAACACCAAGGTAATAAGCTCTTTTAAAAAATCAACCAACATCAATACTGTGTTTTTGAGCTAACGAAAGTTTTACTGGTGACTCCAGAGGAATCAGAACAAGACTAGTGCTGAGTTCTTTTGGAATCACACCCTGAAAGTAATAAAGGTAAGTATTAGCTCCCACAACAAGATGAAAGAATGCATGTACCTAAGTCCAGTTTTCTCAAAACATTTTCTCATTCCTTTCAAGTTGTTTTGAAACATAGGGAAGGAACAACTTGTGCTTTGCCATTTGTGCTTGATAAACCTGATAAACAGCATTATTTCAGTGATGATTAAGAGTTAGGTACCAAGGCAGCTTCACTAAGATAGCCATCCAAATTTTCCTTTAATTTTCCTTACTTGGGATGGAGCAGAGCACAGCTGGACTGTATTTGATTTAATAAACATAAGTCATCTCCACCAAGAAACTGGATTCCATCTCAATACTATTCATGAGTCCTGTGAAATTTGATTAAATTAGCCAATCCAAACCATTTCTGTCTTCACAATTTACATAGGTGAAAATCTAAACCCTGTTACACAGAAAGCCAACAAATGGCTAAAATGTTTTAACAAAGGTGTTAAGGCTTTGGAAAAAAAAATAATTCAGGTACAGAAGTCACCATTTAAAATAGCCTAAAATTAAATAGCCGTCCATGTGAGTGTGCACGCATGCATTACAGACACACTCACAGAGAGGGGGTGTGTGTATATATATATAAAGCCTTCAAATAAAATCACTCAAATGTGGAACATTATTACTACCTGTCAAGAGGTAGGAGTAAGGGAATGTGCCACACTGGTAGTTTACGAAAGAATTAAGACAAGTTATTTGTGCTGGTGCAGAAAGGACTTGGAGAAATGAACATTGAATTATAACCCTAGAATGGAAATCGGTATAGAGTATCATTAAATAACGTATATACTTCCCAAATTTGGCTCACATGTCACTTTTCATAATCTGCTAGGCAGTGTGGGTGCTTGCTGGGCCCGACCTTGCTATTTCTCCACTGCTGCAAATGATGGTCATTGCCTTACAAAGTCTTTGGTACATTTTTGCATAGACTGGGACTCATGCTTTTTTGGATCCAACGCGTATATGTATTTATGGTTTATTCTACATGACTCTCATAAATTGCCTGAAGTCTCAGGTGCTTCCTATCAAACGCAAATCTTGGTCAAGTCCATTGGAACTCAGTAAGTACACATTGCTTGGCATTACCAAGAATATCCTAAGTGCAAGAGATGTCGAGGAAAGCCCTCTGGGACTTCCTGTGTCAGAATATCTTGAAAAGAATGAGTGGGTTTTACTGCTCATCTAAAAACCTTTACAGGAGTGGGAGAAGGTCTGTCAGAGAGACTGTATCAATCTGGGAATGAAAACCAGCCAAACCTCCTGTTTCAAGCTTAACCAAGTGCATACTAGTGGTTTAGGAAAGTCTGTGTAAATGTGTGATGTTGTAAGACCTGGGTAGATGCATCAGCTGATGTGCCATGTTTAGCCATGACTGGCAGGACCGGAGGGTAGCTTATGCCCCAGGAATTGTTAGGGCTGTTTCACTGTGGCCACCTCAGTAGTGCTTCCTGGCAGAGAATATTTAAGGGACAAAAGGCTGTGAACTGCCATGAGTGTCAGAATCAGATACTTCACCATACTTCATCATCCTAAAGCCTAAACCACATTTTGGTGTTTTGGCATCGCTAGCGTTGTTGCCAGCTGTCAGTAGCAGGCATAAAGTCTCCCCCAAGGTGTTTACGTGTCTGAAAGAACAAGGCCTAACCTTCAGAGAAGAGCCCAACTCTTTTTGGGTTTTTGCCGATGCCAGAGTGGCCTCCAGCAGGTTGATATAAATGCACTGTGGTACCCAGAGCACCTGTGCCTCAGTGTGCCTGTGCGCTCAGGGCTCAGCCGCACTCCTCGCTCATCTTCCCTGCGAGGGAGCCGACACTACAATCTGCTGGTGCTGCTCCTTCCCCAGCCAGACAGAAGAGCTGATAATAGTCCCACTTCAGGGATAATTTCACTTGTAACCTTCCCTGCTGCTCCAAGGTAATCAGCAGAGGAGGAAGACAAAAGGGCAGAGTGAAATGAAGATGCTTTGAAATAAAATCAGTCCTCTGCCTCTGTGCTTGTTTCATACCTTGGATCTGCCAACTCTGGCAATCCCCTTCATTTACATCAGTGCTAGACAGAAGAGAGTATGGCCAGTGAACTCTGGGAATAAAGCTTTTCTGATTCCCTTCTTTGCAGGCTTTCACTGTCACATCAGTGTTAAGAAGCCAGTTGAAAAAGCCATGGTGTCTTAACCACTATGATGGAAATACTGCAGACATATGAATCCTAAGTGCTGCTTCTCCTTTTTTCTTTTTCTTTAGCCTGAAATGCTTTCTGCCCATTGCTTCATGTTCTGATCAAATGCATGCAGAAAAGTTCATGTTAGAGGCCTTTGAATTACATGCTCTTACTCTTAAGATGAATACAGCCAGTGGCTGCTGGCGCAGAGCTCAGCGTGTACCACTGAAATGTAGTAAACAAATGTTGTACCAGGGACCATGCATACTTCAACTCTCCCACGACAGATACTTCTGTGCTTGGCATTTTGACTCGTATGCTGAAATAATACTAGTATCTACTGTTTTCAGAGCCTCCCCATACTTGTATCTTGTAGTTGAAGCTTTTAAAATTATTTGTAATCTGAAGGCAGCCTTCTTTTTCATTTACCTGAAATCAACGCTATCAGCTTGGGGTTTTTAAGCTGGGCACCTTGCAGTGGGAGTTCTCAAAAGTGCTTAACTGTGTAAGGAACAAAATTTTCCCTTTAGGGATGTGTTACTGAATTTGTTTTTGCAATGCTGAAAATGTTTTCTCTCCTTCCAAAAATAACCCATGAATTCCAGCATTAGCCAAGCACACTAAAGCCACTCTTTGCAAGAGCATATTCCCCTGTTGCTACGTCCACTTGTTGGATTTAGTCCCTTAACTGAAGAGCTATAGCACTGCCCTTCAGAGCTAGAAACCTGAGGTGCACTTCCCAGCAATGGTGCAAGAAATAAAACAGGCAAAGAGTCTAATCCTTATTTCCTAAAATGCTCATAGGTTGGTTGGCAACGCCTCTCTGACCAGCTTTAGGGAAAGTCCAGTGAAAGCCCAGCTGCATTGATCTGTCCTCTCAATGTTCTCCTCGGTTTTGTTGTTAGCAGGAACTGGACTAGCCCCTCGTTGTGCCAGGTGAGGTCTTTTGCAGGATTTGGCAAGGACTGTAGTATTAAATCAGAATTTGCAGTGGACCATTACTTGGAGCTTTTGTTTCACAGAAAAGCTGGAAGGGTTTGAATTACTGCATTAGGGTTGCTTGCATAGCTAGTAGCATAGGTTCAAATAAATCAATCACACATTTGAAAATACTGAAATTATATGGATGCATGTTCATGACGGACCTGGTAACT